GGGCCCTTTCATGAGCCCGTGGCCAGGGAGAACGGCCACTCGGGCTAGAGCAGCCCGAGAGCGCCTGATCGAGCGGAGGCGGGCACAGTTCTACTCTACCTAAAAGCTCATGACCTTAGTACTTCTCATCAGCCCAGTTTTGATTAGTAGATTTTGTAGCATATCCTGAAAGTCATGTGTCACACAGAAGAATATGTTCATGATACTGATATGTGTATATATAATATTCTCCTTGGTATGTGTGGGTGTAAGTGCGTTTTATTATTCTTATTTTTTTTTTTGACAGTGAAACAGTTTCATCACTCCCATCTAGTGGTCAAACAACACCAACAGATTTGAATAATTCTTGGTCTGGAATACAAAGTTATACAACTGGTTTGACTACTGAAAGAAGCTCCATTTACTCATGGAGGGATGATGTAGGTCGCACTTTTTATCAGGGGTAAATCTTAGCAAATTTTCTGAAGAAAGATTTAACTCTTATCTCTGCCCAAAATTGTTTTTAAATATGTTCACATATGTTCATATATTGTGGTAAAAGAGCTAATCTTTTCCAGTGCAGTGTAGTGGCTATAGCAATAAAGAATTCCACATTAGTACCTAGGTCATTGCTTAATTCAGTTCTCCCTCCAGTGATGAATGTACAAACATTTTACTTTTTAAAATTGAATGTTTGTTTAAATGCATCTAGATGTATTTGCTAAAAACAGTTAATTGTACCAACTGTAGGAATTTGATAAAGCTAATACACAAAGAGTGCAACAACTATTCTGGGATGTGGATGAAATGTTATTTGAAGGAAAAGTGACTTCTCAAACCCAGAGCCTGCAGGAAGAATGTAGAGACTGGATCAATAGATCACTTCATCTAAGGTAAGGACATTTCTTACTTTTGTGAGTTTTAACCAATCATAATTTTATTTATCTAATTAATTTATTTGCTTTGGTTTTCTAATATGTGGTATTTCTTAAAGTGCATGCACCTATTCATTATGCACAACTTAGCAGTCGCTACAGGAAATATAATCAGTTTATGAAAATAGTCTTTTGTGTGAATTTATACAGGGAAGAAGAAAATATATTTCAATCTTGGTTGAAGAGGTTTCATAACACTTTACTAAGGATCTTGCTAGGGACTCAGAGTTGTGAGTTCAAACTCTGCTCTGGACTTTTGCAAGAGCTGGCCATGGGTTGACCCAGATGAGCATGTGGTTATTGAATCCAGGGAGTCAAAGGTGTCTGGATGTGATTCTGGTCCCATCAGCCCCTTGTGTGCCATTGGCTACCAAAATTGGCATGCCTTAACTATGCCTAGGTCTACCTAGCCTTGTCTGGACTTCCAATCTGAGAGGTAGCATGCATGGAGCAGCACAGTGTTTGAAAGACACTGCTGCTTAGCATGGTATGGTTGCTATCCCTAGAAGACAAGCACTCTTTGTGGAGAAAAATATCCTTGGCTGTTGCATCAATTTGAAGTGACTTTTCAATAGTTTATAAAATTATTTTCTTCATATTCTATAAAAAGTCACAGGACATGTGAAAATGAAGGCTGAGTTTTTATTTGCATTGAAGTGTAGTTTATTTCTTAGTTAAATATGTTTTCATTGTTTCACTATTAACTAATTTATGATTTCTTGTTTAATCTGATAAAGATATTGATGGGCAAATGAAACCTATTAATTAGTTCCATGTGATAGAACCTGCTTACTGGTACATGATCTAAGACAAATTGTACCGTTTAAAGATTATAAACAAGGTGAAAGAGATCAGCCATTTTGTGAAGTTTGAGCAAGTATGAACATATATGAAAATAAAAATAGCTACAATATTCCTTCCTGTTATAGATTTTCTTTATATTCCCCACACATCTCTAGGACTCTGAAACTTAGAGTTTAAATACATCATGGCTAAAGATCTGTGGGCTGCAGGGGTTTCTCAGGGCAGGGGGTAGATACTGGGGCTAGGGACAAAAGTTACACATAAACTGGTTTAAATGATCAGAAACTGGTTTAAACCTGTAGCAGAATAGAAGTTCAAAATGGCTGAAACTGGCTTAAGATAAACTTCAGTGAATGTAGTATCAGACTTAATTGTTTTAGATCAAGCTGGTTTATGAAACTTCTGTCCCAGACCCCTTCCTGATTCAAGTTAAATCAGAGTCCCTCAGCATCCCAGGATGCTCTGCACCTCTAGGCTGAGCTGTGCTGTCTGCTCCAGAGAGCAGGGCTGTCCTCACCCCTCTGCTCTCTCACTGGAGCAGTGAAGGCTGGCTCACTGGCCTCACTGGCTGGCTCACTGGCCCACCCAGGCAAACCCCTGCTAGGGTTTGGAGCCAGGGAGCAAGGGTTAAACTTCCCTTTCCCTGAGTATGAAGCTGCTCTGCCCTGCCCTGCTTACTCAGTGCTGACTGTGAGTGTGGAGTACAAATCCCAGAAGTACCTGGAAGCAGAAAGAGGAAGTGATGAGCAACCCAGTAGAGTCTTGCTGCTGTTAGTCTGGACCGCAAATTCCAGAGACCTCAGGGGCAGCAGGAAGAGGAAGTGAACATACAGCCCAAGCTAGTAATGTGCCAGAGAGCTGTGCTCAAGCACCCCCTGGCTTCTGGCTTGAGCCACTGCAGGCATGCAGCTGCATTTCCTGAATCAAAAGTGAATGTCTCTTCATTTGCTTATTGGTTCAATCTTCGCAGCTTAGACTAACCTGCAAAGACTGAATCAATTCAGCCTTGGGCTTTTTGACTGTCTGTACTTAGCCTGGAAGTAGTTGCCCTGCATGACTTGTGCTCTTAGGAACTGATAGCTATCCGCTTGGAAATCTGTAAAAATTAATGACTAAGCCAACATGAACTTGGTCTCTGCACTGTTCATCCTGGTAAATAAGGAAAAGCACACAGCTTCTGAAGACTTCTGAAGGAGCCATGCTGTAAGAGGCTGAGAAAGGATGCCTGAAAGAAAAGAGCATATTGATGTGCGCTGAGCATCACACTCAGGAAGGAAGATCTTTTCTATCATTTTGGGGTGTAGCATATGCAGAGTTTGAGTCCCAGGCTTTACTGAAGTGCATGAAGTGCCCCCCTCCATCTCCATTCTACCCATCTCTTCTCCCTGGAGCCTTTTCCCTGTGCTATGAATAGAATATTCCTGCAAACTCACATTACAGAATTATCAGACTCCTCCCCCCGATCCTATACAGAATTTTTTTTCCAAAAGAGGAAAATGTGGCTGAGGATACAAGGATATAAAAGAAAAAATACTGCACTGTGTGGAAGGAAGAAGTTAAAATTCATAGAAATTTGACCGGGGAAAGGGAGAGACTTATACCAGAAAAAGTATATAACATAATAAATCGTGTTTAAAAGATTACTGAAATGAAAAGGTATGAGTGACATTCTGTGAAGAGGGAGAATAAACTGTTGTATTGAGTCAGTGAAAGGTATAAATAATATGCTAGTGATTTGTAGCATGCATCAGAATGCCAGGGATCTAAAACCTAAGACTGGAATTTAATTATTTAGAGAGACGGAATTCATTTGGTTCACTATTCCAGTGAAACTTGGCTATAGAATATACAGAATTCCTGGTGATTTGAGTGAGGTGAAGGGGTGGAAAGCTGCAGGTCTTTTGACTGAATGTGTAGATGCCCTATAGTGTGACCTGCAAATTCCCTGAAGTGCCTTTGCAAATATTTAACAAAAAGTAACAGGAAGTGACCATTCTTCAGATAAATAAAGATCGAAAGTTCTTTGTTTTAACAGTGATTTTGTTACATTGAAAGAAAGAAAAAAATCCCTTTGCAGTCTATGCTTTAACTTGACATATTTTTCCTAATCCTAGTTTCAGTAACATGTATATTAGCCACCCTCGTGTACATTTTTGAACCAGAAATTTTCTTGGTACTGATATCATGTTTCATTACAGAAATTGCCCAAGTAACTTTAAAGTGGTTGTGAAAGTGATTGTGTTCTCTATTTTAAATGATCTCTGTATATGTAATTTGATTATTGATATGAAAGAGTTTCATATTCTTTATATAAATTAATTTTTATAGCACAGTTTTGTGTCTTACTCTTTTCTTTCCTGGTAATATTTGAATATTTTTAAAGATTGTGAACTAGAACCTCAGGTGATATAAACAACTCTAACAATTTAAGTAAAATTACACCAATTTATATTAGGAGAATATCTGTCCCTTTATTTCTAGAAAATAGTATGGGAGCTAGTAAATTATTCAGTCTGATGTTTGATTGTGCTGTAGGTGTCCATATTTGTTTTCTTTTCAATCTGATTTATGTGTTACTTTTTTGCAGGATTTTAGGAAAGCAGCTCCTGTTGCCTAAGGATGAAGGCTTTCAGCATTTTCAGAGCCGAACTGCTATCTCTGCCTACACCAGATCTTTACCTGGCCTCTGTGAAATCACTAAAAATATGAAAGAGTATGTTACATTCCATACAGAATATATCTTTATGCATTTTGAGTAACATGACATGTATAGATAGTCTTAATATTAAGAATAAAAGGAAACTAGAGGCAGCAAACACTCATCAATTAGAAACATCTGAACAATGCCTCTTAGGTAGCCAACTAAGCGAGGAGCTTTGCCATATATGAAACAATATTCTTGCGTAACGTGTGCCCCAGGCTTTTAAAAGTCATGTAAGATATTATTTCATTTATATTGCCTTGGTTTGCTGAAAATAAAATTACTTAGTCCAAATGAATTCACTTTAATCTTTCTTACCTTTTCGCAAATGTATAGGCCCATTTAATAGCCTTAACATATTTGATCATAATCCAGCACCTCTGGGTTTATCATGTGCTTGTTTCCATGTACATATAATTCTGATTCTTTTGTTTCAGGCTGTGCATTTCAGGCTCTAAGCTGGTTCCCACAACCTCCCCAGCCCACAAATCATTAGACTGTGGGTTCCCGAGGATTACTGTTTCTGACTCATCTGTGTATTCCTTCCTGGAAGAAGAAATATATGATGTCGATGGAAAAATAGAAGAGTATCTTGCATTTGACAACAAAGAGCTGTAAATAGCAGCTGTGTATTTTTAAGTGTATACTGAAAAATTATTGTTAAATTGCTTAAGACTTGTCAACATGAATAAACTAGGGGTTTCTATGCCCATCTCTCCTAAAGGGTTTGATCTAGTAGGTGCCTGTAAGATCAACCTCTATGTAAGGTGCTCAGGCAGTTACAGCTTTCTTGCAGATTATGAGTGGTGTTACAGTGATGCCATTTTTTTCTTGCTTTTGTCTGGTAGTTTAGGGGCTAGCCTACTCACCCAGGGTGTGAGAGAATTAGGTTTCAGATACTGGATAAACACTATAAGGGTCTCTTTGTACTGCGACACCCAAAGTTTAGCCAAGGCTGAGTCTTTATGAATGAAGACGAGAGAGTCTTTCTAATCCCAAATTTTTTTCACTTTCTTAAAATACAATACAATACAAGCCTTTTTTACATGTAAAGTGTATTATATGTAACTAGGGTCCTGTTCCTGAAACTGGAGAGGAAAGTAAGAAACTGAGTCTATGAGAGTGAAAGGGGAGAGATGCACATGAGTTTACAGAGTCCCATGATCCTGTGAGGCTGCGAATTGTTCCAAAATCTGCTCCACCTGGTTAGGTGAAGGCCCAGAGGTCATGGCAAATATGTCTGGATAAGTAGGGTATGGTACAAAGGATCTGCTCTGTGTGGTATTCTCCCATCAAAGCTAGAGGGATATAGTATACTGTAAGTTGTGGCTAATTAAGGAAATGCAAGATTCTAGCTCCAAAAGATCATTTTCATCAACTTTGCTTTATTTCTATCATAATCCATATCTCTATATGTGGTATCTGTCAAGAGTTGCAAAATCTATTTGCTATAATGCTGCAGTTTGATTTTGCATGCCACTGATACCAGAAGGGAAGTGTTGTTCAGCCAAACAAAGGAAACAAGGCAAAACCAAACCAATTCAGCTCTGTTTTCTTCTGCAGTACTCTGCGCATTTCTGTTATAAAATCTGACATATTTTCTAATATAAATGTATTTGACCCCTTCCTTCTTCTATGAGGAAGTGTGCTTTGATATACTGTGAATGTTAGCAGAAATTGGTAGAATTCAGTAATAAAGGCAAATTTGCTTCAATTGTTAGTGATGATGAGAATTTGGAACAAAAGAAAGCCCAGCTTGCTCAAAAGAAGAATAAACATGGCATTCCTCCTGTTTCTCCCAATGCTTGTATCCAAGATGCTGTGGCTGCTGAAGTGTTTGATCATGTCTGGAACAATATAATTGAAATACTGGAGGAGCTGATTAGAAAAAATTGGGAATCTGTTATCACAGGTATTTGAAATTTTTGGAGATGGCATTTATAGTATTTTACCTAGAACGCTAATTTCTTATTTAATTACATTTGGCTTACAAAATCATTTATGATTATATTGGGATAGAGCTAGAGCAGCCGTGTTTCCTGAGTCTCAAAAGGGAACTCTCCCCCACTTGAGCCCCTCAGCTCTTTAGCATGCTTAGCTTTTTCCAAGCTGTAGTCTCAGCTGAGTGCACTGGAAAGTGGGGAGAGGGATAAGCAGGGGTGCAGAGCACTGTGGATGCTGAAGATCAGCAAACTCCCCATTGTGCACTGTAGCTGGAGTGTGCCACCACAACGGAATTCCCATTGGAAGGGCATTCCTACTGGAAGTGGACAAAAGCATTCAATTTAACCAAACTGAAGTGAAGATTCTTAAAAGTTCCCACCAAAACTGGGATTTATGATCAGCCTGGATGGAACTGTATGTACTTGCATGTGGAACTTCATAAAAACTCACTGGGCCTGAGCTAAAGCTTCCCTGTGGAAAGATATTGACTTCTGTTGGATTGAGACTAGGCCTATAAGAAGAGCTTAAATGAAAAGATCAGTACAAGAAGGCCAGAGGAGATGAGTAATCAAGGGGCACATCTACATGAGATGTTTACTATGCATTAGACTAATTAGCTGAGCAGTAAATATCTCAGCATCTACACATGTGCCCCTGTTAGGCTGGAATAAACTAATTTATTTGTAAGTATTTACAAGTATTATGCTGCTGTGGAGTAAAAAATTTCCGCAGTGGCATATGTGTAGACACTGGATGGATTGGCTGCAGCATGAGGGTGCTTCAGTGTAGGGGCTGCCTGCAGGTTAGCCCTACATTGACACACCCTTGTACCCCAGCCAGCCCCTCTTCAGCATGTTGAACCGGGGAGAGCAGCCCTAGGCTGGCAGGCTGAACTCTCTGGGTCTTGTCATAGCTCAACATGCTATCTGTGGTCCTGGACATACATTCAGATGACAATGAACTCCAGAGTTGATTGCTCTGGAGTTTATTGTTTTGCATTAATTGCATGTAGAGTCGTGCCCATGGTGTAACGTAATGCTCCTGGTAGGTCACCTGCAGCGTGGCTTGACTCTGCGTTCTGTGTGTCTAAAAGCATTAATCTCTACTGTTTGTAGTAAAAGATAAAGGTTAGTTAACCAGAAATAAAACAGCTGAGATGCTTTATAAACCTATATGTGATTTAACTACTAGAGAGGAATAGAGTCCCACTGAACGTGTATGGGTTATGAGATTAATGTAGGATGGAACATCAGTTTGCCTCCATAAATCTGATTCTTCCTGGTGGTTTAGTAAAGTATTGCACAGAAAAGCAGCAGGTAAAGGGCAAATTAACTAGGCTGGAATAAACTAATTTATTTGTAAGTATTTACAAGTATTATGCTGCTGTGGAGTAAAAAATTTCCGCAGTGGCATATGTGTAGACACTGGATGGATTGGCTGCAGCATGAGGGTGCTTCAGTGTAGGGGCTGCCTGCAGGTTAGCCCTACATTGACACACCCTTGTACCCCAGCCAGCCCCTCTTCAGCATGTTGAACCGGGGAGAGCAGCCCTAGGCTGGCAGGCTGAACTCTCTGGGTCTTGTCATAGCTCAACATGCTATCTGTGGTCCTGGACATACATTCAGATGACAATGAACTCCAGAGTTGATTGCTCTGGAGTTTATTGTTTTGCATTAATTGCATGTAGAGTCGTGCCCATGGTGTAACGTAATGCTCCTGGTAGGTCACCTGCAGCGTGGCTTGACTCTGCGTTCTGTGTGTCTAAAAGCATTAATCTCTACTGTTTGTAGTAAAAGATAAAGGTTAGTTAACCAGAAATAAAACAGCTGAGATGCTTTATAAACCTATATGTGATTTAACTACTAGAGAGGAATAGAGTCCCACTGAACGTGTATGGGTTATGAGATTAATGTAGGATGGAACATCAGTTTGCCTCCATAAATCTGATTCTTCCTGGTGGTTTAGTAAAGTATTGCACAGAAAAGCAGCAGGTAAAGGGCAAATTAACAGGGAAATTCTGTCCTCTGGCAGGTACAGGGGTTCCCTTTTGAAACTGATGGTAACTTCATCTCGTCTTTAATTGTATATTAATAGCACAAACAAATAGAAAATCATGACCAATAAACTGAAACTAGTAATTGACTTCCAATATAGTTGTGAAACGAAGTAGGAGTAGTGAAATACTTGCAGAATTCTATAATAGTAGAACTTAATGGTGAGGGTACTACTATTGAACTAAATGAGCTGTTCACATCTCCAGTAAAAGGTTTATTCACATCCTATAAATCAAAGAGATCTAGGTTTGCTATCAGTCTTTTTGTTCAGGGTCATCAATGTGGGGAAAAGGAGCTGTTAAGCAAAGGCTTTGGATAAAGACTAAAGAAATTTAAGGCTGAGAGAGAAATAACACAATAATTTATGGATACATTACATAAATCTTTAGTTCCTGTTGTTCATATTTTTTTTTCATTTCTAACAGACATATATAGGAATATTTAATAATATTTATGAAGTTTTTAGCAATCTTTTTAAAACTACGTTTCTGTTATGTCTATGGTTAAACTCGATTTATTATTTATCCGGGAAATAGTCATTTGGAATTTTTTTCAGAAACATGTTTTCTTATTTTGACAGCAGGTATGTTTTTAAATGTCATGCATCTCCTCAAAATTAAAACAATTCGGGCTATAAGAATATTAATTATGAACATTTAATAGTGTTTACATATTATATAATATGTATTTGCAATATAACATAGCAGATCTAAATCACTGATATTTGTTAGCCAATACCAACCATTGTAGCTCCATTATTTCCTGTTTACTTGTATATTTCATTCTGCTGCAGCAAATGATAAACAGGTGGAAAAGTTGAAAGCTACTACAACTAAATTGCCAGATCTACCAGTATTGCATATTACAACAGATACAGTGAGTGTACCCCCATCAAGGGGCTCTGAGGCACGAAGCACAACTTTTGCTTCACATTATGTTCCATCTCAGGTAAAATATGGTTCCATAAAACAGATTCCTATTGTTTTCATTTGGCCTTTGCCTTTTCTAGTTCAGACTAGAAATGCTTCCCTTTGTATTGATTATGTACCTTTGAGGTATTTACCTTTTTTCACTTAAAAGAACATAGTGGCCATGTCCAGGCAAGTGTGGCTGTGTGGTATGTGGTGCCACAGACATGTCTGCGGCACCACATACTGCATATTTAGCTGCTCTCTGTGCTGCAAAGGAACAGTGTGGGGGGTGCAGGTTGATTCCTGGATATCCCTGGGTTGCAAAAAAAAAATAATCGGAGCAACGCGCACAGGGACAGCATGCGCCACTCAAAACCAGAGCCTGGCTGGCCGGAGCCATGCTCTGGCTGCTGGCCAGGTTCTGAGTGGCAGGATCACCACTGCTGCAGCCACAGGAGGTCCCCAAGATCCCAGTTAAGGCTGCTGGGGCCAGCCCAGTGCTGGCCCCAGCCTCCCCTACCCCACCTGGGGTGACCTGCAGTGCACCAGAGCATGCATGGCACAGGCATTCCCCGGGAACAATTAGCAGTGGCACAAGGTGGAGTGCCACTGCTAATAGTGCAGTGCTAATAGAGCAGTGGCACTATCCACTGCTAGTTATGCCTGGGGAAACAAACATTCATGCCTGTGTGGATGTGGCCAGTGGGGTTTTTTGGACAATACAATAATTTAGAGACTCTTTTAGGATTGAGAACATACTGCGTTAGGTGATGTAAAACAGGTAACATTTTTTTTTCCTTTCCAGACATGAAAAGTAAATTACAAAATAAAGTAGTGCTCAGCTCCTTCATCCCTGGGTCAGAGTATGCCCAGGCAAATGGAATCTTTGGTCAATGTATTGCCAGCCATTAACAAGTTTTGACTGAACACCTGTGACTGTTATAAGCTTCATTATAGAAGCTTATAACTTGGTTAAATTTAGATAGATATTACTGGAGATGAGTAAATTCTCCTCTCTGACTCAAGGATGGAGCCCATATTAAATTTAGCTCCTACTTCAAAGAATGGTGAGAGTTTCACATCGAAACATTTGAAATATTTTTTGTTGTTAGCAAAATATTTCCCCCTACCCTTATTGGATGAATCATTGTAGTTGACATAAAAAAATAGAAAGAGAAAGAAGTAAAAAAAGAAAAAGGAGGAAGCATCTGCTATTGAAAATTTCAATGGATGGTCAGATGAGCATAAAGTTTTTAAATAACTTTAAAACAGGACTTTATATAATGGAATGGAAGGAGAAAAGCCACTATAACCAATATGTGTTGCTTCCAGGTCTGGCTATAATAAAAATGTATAGGGGTAGATATTATATATATATTTGCAGTGATTATTTTGTATTAATGATTTCTTTCTGTAATATTTATTGTTAACCTAATTTTAAAGCTTTATATGAGGAATTTTGACTCCTGTCATTTGCACCTTAGTTTGGAGAAAAAAATTTTGATGATAATATGTAGTGGTATCCTATGAGTCTTTTCTCCTAATTGTGATTTTAGGCCCCCTTCGCAAAAGCTAAAGAGACTGAAAGGGTAAATGTTATTGCTTTTTTTAGGTTCATCGGTTCTCCAGCAATTTCTACAGTGATTTGAATGGTGTTATGACAATTCAAGCTAAGCCACTCCAGCAGAGGCATTCAGCCATAGCAGACAAGATCCAGTAAGTGTTTAATGGGAAGATAGCATGCAGATTTTTTATGATACATATTGTTGTTAAGGCCATGTAAAAGACACTTTGTGAACATAAAAATGCAGACATTTTTTTTGTTGATAATTGATAAATTTAAAATTGGATTTTATTTTGTAAAAACAGGAATAATATTCTAATAAGAGGCCTTTCTATTTTTCTTCCCCTCCCATCTAGGAATGAACAAGATGACAAACTGCATAACATTGGCTCCAGTATTCCCAACTCAGTGCGAAATCGGGTGGGGCGAATAACTGATAACAATGTTCTCTCATCATCCCGAGTACTGTTGGCATCCTCTAGGAAAATGCCAGCACATCGCAGGCTACCATCTCTCACCTCAGACCCACTATGCTCAAAGACTCCAAACGTATACAGTGATGAAATCCTTAGAGGAACTAAACTGTGAGTTTTTTGTTTCACTCTCTGTTTCACCGAGCTGAATGCATAACAATGGGTCAGGTTTTAATGAATATGGCAACAGATTTGAGAACTGAGATCTAACGAAGATCCAGACTTCATTGGAAAAATGTAATATGCATAAAGCATTATTCTATGATAAATAGCAATTTTCTACATTTAAAGTAGCTTAAATGTATTAGGATTTTTTTTCTGATGTAGGTAAAAAAAAAAAAATCTCTTATGAATATTCCTAAAAAAAATATATCAATGGATCTTCTACAGGTGTACTGGCTTTGATCGCTTGTCCTCTCCCCATGTACATACAACTCGGAACAAGTTGCCACCAATAAATTCAGAGACAGTTGAACAGTATCTGTCAGTGCCTGGATCACGACAAAGCTTTGTAAGATATGTTCCTTTTCATGTTAACGATCAATAGAAATTTGAAAAGACTGCTTTGCATTGCTTTTTGAAATATTGCTTTGGGGAGATTTGCATCCAATCACGTTTTATGGTAATACAAGGTTTTAATATAAATTAGAGAATATACTTATGTAAGAAGGAATAGTAGAAGGTACATTAGGGCCAAAATGTAGATTATTTTAAGTATTTTGTTCTAAAACTAAATAACGTGCTTGAAATTCTAAGGAACAGATAAATGAGTACCCTGTTGGATATCTGTTTGTGTCTTGGATTTCAATATTTCCTTTAAATGTGGTATTTTTGTGCTCTTGTATAATGGCCTGAAAGCACCATCCTTCCCTACATAGGAATAATATATAGGAGATAGAAAGTTCACAGTTTTCAATTTGGGATTCCCACTCAATTTTTACCTTTAGGAGCTGGTTTGTCCCTCAAAAAGGTCACTCCCCTTTGCGCAAAGGGTGTGTTTACTACTGTATACGTCACCAATGAGCACTATACTGAATAATGCAAGTTGTACCTCTTCCCACCCTGGACCTGGCCCTAGTAGTCCCACAGAGTAGAGGGCTTCTGTGGATTGTTGTTTAGGGAGGAGTATATGACAGAGGCATATGGGTGTGTGGGATCTTAACATCAGTAGCATAGATAAGGATCTGTTCATAGAAATGCATTGATAATCGGATTGTATCGGTCAGACATATAAACATATACAGAATAGTACAGGTTTATCATATATTTTCATCCTGTAGAATAGGACCTCCTGGGCCTTTTTTACAATATAGGCAATAGGGTCTAGTATAACTTTCTCAAATCATGTGAACGTGAAATATGTACACGATTTTACCAGTTATCTTTCTTAGTCTTTCCCATTTGTATAGTCATAGTTATGCACCTCTCTGCCCTCACTGTAAAACATAAGAATCTAATTTAATGTAATTGATGTCTGGTTGAAGATCTCAAGAAGTCCTCTAAAAAATCAGTTCTTTCATGTTAATAGAAAATTAGCTCTTTTATTTTAAATTAAGTGAAGCTCAAAGGGATTGTATTTTAGCCAAGCTAATATTTATGTTTTTTTCATTGTTAATTTTGTTTCTTTTTCAGCATAGAGGTCGATATGCTCATAGCAGAGTATCAAGTGCAGTACCTGACAGCACAGAGCGACGACCACTTAGAGAACGAACTGTCATTGTTGATCAATTTTCAAGACCCAATACCACTCACACATTCAGGGTGGGTTTTTGGGTAATTCAGGAGACTAGACCAGACTGTGAGAGACAAGGGAAAACTTTATTCAGGAAGCCTCCCCTCCCACCTGCTTCATGACTGCAAAACGATCTCATGCCCTAGCAATTTTTGTGTGCCTTATGATCCCAGGAGCGCAGGGAATCATATTTTCTTCAGAGAGCAAAATGTCAAAAAAGGGATTGGGAAGGAGCTAGGGTCATGTTTCTGCACTTCCATCTGCAGTGGTCTGAATAGTGGGGTTCATGTAGTGGAAAGAGATCCATCCTAATGTACAATCTGCTTGATACCTTTCCATACATGAGAGGGGTGACTTGCGGTACAATCTCTAGAGCTACCTCTGGAGCAGTGCTGTTCCACACTACCTTCTCTGTTGTGATGTAACACAAAGCCATAATCAAGCCCTTAGTGTATGAGAGAACCACAGGGAAAAAAAATATTTTTCCCCTTTTTTTCAGTCAGACACAGCTCAGAAAAGGTCATTGACTTCTATGGATTTTACTAATCACACGTGGACAGGCCATGTTTTTTTAACAGGTAAGAAAACTCAGATTCACTAAGACCCAAATGCTAGCAAAAATAACAAATAATGCAGTTGAATAGGAACCACCTCAGTATGAAAGAAGGAGTGAACCCAGTAGGATATTGTAACTCTCTTGCATTGGGAATACATCCTATTTTCCCTTCCATTGGTCAGAGGATGGCCCCAGTTTTGTCAACCTGCTGGTATATTGCAAAACTCATCTGGTTGTTACTATGTGGAGAGGGAAGAAAATTTGCTTGCTGTTTTTTTAAGGAGTTTGTATTTTTAATTAGGGCAGGAATGCACACAGTATCCAGGATACACAAGGCCATTTGGTGTTGTATTTGAATTAACATATGTTTGTTCTGTTTTTGTACAATGCCCAACACAGTATTATCCTGGTTCATGACTGTAGCTCTTCAGCAACATCATCATCATCATCATAATAAATGGTATAAGCATAACTAGAAAGGTAATGCAACTCCATCCTAGACTCAAGAGGGCTTTTTGTCCAAAAGAAAACATGACATATTTTCTTCTGTGGTTGCCATATCAACAGTGATTTGGTTTTTAAAATATACAGAACTCATGTAATAGATGTGTATTGCATTATAAACTGGCTAAACACAATATATACAATTATCCCTTTTTAATAATTAATATCTTTAATGTTTTAATCTTTCCTTAACATCATTTAAATATAGACAGTGTTGTTTTAGACATTAACATAAAACATCTTTTAAATAAAAAATATCACTCTTGACTTGTAACTATGGTCATACTCATACAGTATCAGCAAAGAAAGCAGACACTGATTGACTAATTTAGTTTCAGTATCACAATAAATTATCTTATTGGCTATCTAGTTTTTAGAATAATGAAATAATATTTTTTATCTTACTTCATTAAGTCAGTGAAAGTCTGTTATTTCACACATTCCATGACCAGTTTCATTTCTAAGAATTGTAGGTTTTCCTGAGTTTTGAATAATTCTTTGGTGAAAGCATTATGTAATGAAACAAATAAGCTGTAAAAACTCATTGAGAAAATAGGTGATGTTAGAATACAATCAGGCTAACAAGTGTTCTTTCTAAAGGCAGCTTATCAGCAGCAGCAGCAGCAATCAATCCCTCACAGTCAAGGATGATTGTCTTCCATGATTGTCTTATCTGTGGATTTGAAGATGTCTGACGAGGCCTATCTGGGATCGACAGACTGTTGCAGCTCAGGGCACATGTTTCTGTGTGGGGTGGATGGCCTAGGTTCTTGATTTCGTCCACAGGGTTATTTCTTCTGCTCCCGCTTTTCCACCTCCTGTTTTTGTCCTAAAGTTTCAAAGTACTGAGATCCTTTCAGCAGATTCTTCCTCCATTTGGGGCAGTCCTGGGTGATAGTCTCCCAGAAACTGATGTTGCATTTGTTCAAGTTGGCTGTGAGGACATCCTTGAAGCACTTTTCCTGCCCTCCTCTTGAATGTACACCTTAACTGGACTGGGAGAATAAGTTTCATTTGCTTCAGGAATCTGGAGTCAGACATCCAGCCCAGCAAGGTTGATGCTGCACGATCATTGCCTCGATGCTTGTGGTGTTTGCTTGCAAGAGGGCTCTAACATTGATGCGTCTGTCTTCCCACTGGATTCCAAGGATCTTCTGCAGCAAGCACTGATGTTACTTCTCCAGTGGCTCCAGTTGGCTCCTGTATGTTGTCCATGCCTCAGCTTCATACAATAAGATAGGGACCACGACTGCTTGATATACCATGAACTTGTTTTCAGATCTGATGTCACAATTCACAGGTTCACAGAAGTTTAGGGCTGGAAGGGACCTTGTGAGATATCAGGTCCAGCCCCCCTGCTCTAGGCAGGAAAGACTGTTGGGGTCAAATAACTCCAGCAAGGTGTGCATCCAGTCTCCTTTTGAAGATCTCCAGGTTAGGTGCCTGCACCACCCCTGCTGGGAGTCTATTCCAGGGTCTGGTCACACAAACCGTAAAGAAGTTTTTTCTTATATGCAGTCTGAATCCTCCTTCTAGGAGTTTATGACCGTTGCTCCTCGTTTTCCCCATGGCACTTTGGTGAATAGTTATTTGCCTAGCCCCTGATGCTCTCCCCGATACATTTGTAAGCTGCCACCAAATCCACCCAAAATTTTCTCTTTTTTAGGCTGAACAGTCCCATATCTGTTAGTCTATCCTCATATGGCTTGCTCTTCAGGCCTGTAATCACACGAGCGGCTCTTCTCTGGACTCTCTCAAGGTTTCCCATATCCTTGAAGTGTGGCACCCAGAACGATTCAGTACTCCAGCTGCGGCCTCACCAGTGCTGAGTAGAGCAGGAGAACAACTTTCTTAGTTTTGCTTGAGATGCATCGGTTGATGCATGCCAGCATATTGTTTGCTCTGCTAACTGTAGCATCACTCTGGTGGCTCATATTCATTTTATGGTCAATTATGACCCCCAGGTCCCTTTCGGGTGTGGTGCTAGCTAGCGTAGCACCATTGAACCTGTAAGTTTGTTGCAGATTATTCCTCCCTAGATGGAGCACTTTACACTTCTCAGTGTTGAACGGCATCTGGTTCTAGTCCACTCATTAACTAATCTGTCTAGGTCTGCCTAGATCATCAGCCTACCCTGAGGTGTTCAGTCTTTGAACCCCTCCTTTTTTCAGGCATCTAAAGGCTGCACTTGCACATTTGAAGTGATGTTGAATTTCTTTGTTGATGTCAGCCTTCTGTGAGAGATGGCTTCTGAGGTACAGGAAATACTCAGTGTTCTTCAGAGTCTCACCATGAATCTGAATAACTGGAGCTGGGGACTACTTATTAAGAGCTTGTTGATGGAGGGCCTTAGTCTTGTAAATATTAAGCATCAGTACCATTTTCTTGTATGCCTTGGTGTGACAGGGGGCCAGTTCAGGGCTGGGTTTCATGGTTGGCCCACCCACCTGTCTAGGGCAGTCTGCCCTGTCTTGCCTGCCAAGACTTGTAATAAGCTTGATGTAAAATGTGGGAGGCCCATTTAATGCCCCAATGCCTAGGGCATTACACATAGCTCCGACTTTCCCTATACTGTGTCCCATGCCTCGCAGATGGCATCCAAAGTTCTTCCTCTCTGACCCACACTCAGCCTCAAAACATTTGAGGGCTTACTGGGGTCTTTGGCCTCACCCAAAACTTGGTCTCACCACATCTGAGAACTTACTGGAGTCTAGCTCCTCTGCCCTCTCACTGGGGCAACAACTTGCACCCTCTCACTGGGGCTCACTCCCTGAACTACTTGTGCGGCTGGCCTATATGCAGACCTTCAGGTTCACCCTTGCAGCCCTACTCTGCATGCCCCCAGCGCAGCCCTTCAGGCTGCCCTTGTGGCCCTACTCTATGTGGTCTGTTCTCTAACTGCGTCCCCCTCACTGGGGGCCAACACTTTGCCATCTTGCAGGGGCCACTCTTCTGCCCCCTCACTGGGCCCTTGGGGTCTTATACCCCATGGATTCAGGTGTCCAAAGTCATGCCCGGCCCTACTCTGGGTTACCCACCAAGTTGTGGGGGCTGGGGTTATGAGGCGCCTCATACTCGCCTTTTACTAGGGAGGAATCTGGTGTGGCATTTCCTGGGGACAACCCCGCCACAGGCAGCCCCACCACACCATCCTACCCTAGCAGGGTGTAGTTTTCGGTCATTCCCCAGGACCAGGAGCCTCCAGCCATCCTCATAGCTCTTGCCCTTACCTGCAAGATGTTTCATGAGCAGCAGCTCAGCCAGGCAATGTTCTTCCCCGGCTGCTTGCATTAAACTGCTGGCTCAGACCTGAGAGGTTGGGTTAAAATGGAGGCTGCTCACCCCCTTCCTCCTATCCCTGGATCCTCCTGTGGTCATGTGACTGCCTTATCAGGGCAGGCCTACACCTGCCAGTTGCCCTTCTGCCTGTGCTGGCCCTTTAAAGTAGCAGGCACCAAAGGTGCTCTGCCACACTTGGTAAAGATGTTGTTGATTGCCTGAAGCTCTGTTTCTGAGTGCACATACACTATGGCAGCATCATCAGCATACTGGAGCTCAGTGATTGAATTTGGGGAGGTCTTGGTTTTGACTCAGTCAGCTGAGATTAAACAGGTTATCACCCATTTGATAGTTTAGCTCCACTCTGATTGGGAGCTTGTTGATGGTCAGATGTGGCATCTCAGTAAGGAATATGGAGAAGACTGTTGGAGCAATGATGCAGCCTTGCTTAACTCTCATCTTAACCTCAGAGAGGTCTGTGATAGGTTACTGAGAACCACCACGCATGTGCCTTTATGGAGCTGACAAAGTATGGTGACGAATTTCAGTGGGCATCCCTACTTCAAAAGGATTCTCTGCAGTGCTTTTTGGTTGCTAGAGTTGTAGGCTTTTGTGAGGTCAAAAAAGGCCATGTAGAGAGGTTTATGTTGTTCCCGACATTTTTTGTCCAGCTGGAGAGCAGTGAAGTTCATGTCAGTTGTGCCTTTTTCTAAAGCCAGCCTGTAAAAAGAACACAAATATTGAGAAGTAATTAGCTGGTATTAACTCCCTGGATGTCAGGCAGGAGGCAGGGTAGAGTGGAACCTTATCAGCTAGCTAGTTCAGAGTCAAGAGTTTTCATTAAGTAACAGCTAATTCCATCAGGTGCTATCTGAGGTTAGCATCTGACAACCTTATGGAAGCTCATGCCTTTCTGAACTACTTAGTCTATAAAGTGTCACTGCCCTGCCTTTAATCCAAATATTGTTCTGGTGTAACTTTCAAAGCCTATTTTCTGGTTTCAGGCACACATCGTTACTCCAAATCCTTTCAAAGGAATCCATCTACATCTAGGAAGAGATTTCAAGTTGCTTCTTAATATATTTTAAGAAGAAACAGAAAACACATTGCACTGAATGGACAACTATTATGCTCAGCAATATTAGACATCATATGGATGGGATGAAGAAAGTATTATAGCATTCTGTGTGCTGCTTACCTTTCCAGTCTGTCTTGTACATGTATGTTTGAAGGTAGCTTGGACGGAGAGGCTGGATGTAGCTGAGAGAAAAAAAAAAGGAAATCAAGTGATTAAATGTGGAATTCAGGATTTCCTTTTGTAGGAAATAAGATGCTGCTGCTGTTTCTCCTACTCATCCATGCCTCCACTGTTTTGAGTTTTTCATCTGGTAAATTTCTTTAGTTCCTTCCTCTAATGGAAGCAAGTAACAAGGTGCTTTTAAGCCCTTGAAATTATATTCATGTTACCCAGCCTCCTGTTTCATAGACTTTCTGAGCTGTCAAACACTGATTGTATACAAAGTTCATATGTTTTAAAATAGAAGCTTTTTATTACCCTATTGTGTCCTTTCTCTCTCTCATCTTTGTTATTCCGGTTGCTGTTCTGTAAATATTTTCTGTCCTTGGCTTGTTTTCCCTTTTAAAACTAGGTCTGTATTCATTTTAACAGTGATTAGAGAGCTAAACTTCATTTATAACTTGCTATTAAGCTGTCCTCTACTTTAGGTGCTGTAGAACAACTGAGATAGAATTGTTCTCGGAAAACAATGACTGCCCAGCCAGGTGAATGTATTCCATAAATCCCAAATTACTTGATATGCTTGCTGACATGCCAATAAGACAGTTCTAACTTTCTCAACTTGTGTATTCTTCGAGGGCTTTCTATGTCACATACTCCTATAACACCTAATACAATTTCTTGTATCTAATCCTAAACATGATTTACTTAACATTAAAGTATTTACTTAATGAATTGGTGCATTATTAGTATTCCTGGCATGTGTGTAGACCCATAAAAAAGAAAAGGACTAACTTTAATTTTATTAAAGGTACTACATAGTAAGGTAATCGGCATTATACATCAAAAAATAAATAGGAGCCCCTTCCTTGAAATAGCTATAGTCTAAATAGATGAGATATACAAAGGTTTGGAGGGGAAACAAGGAAAAAGAAGTATAATGACTTGCCCAAATCATGGAGGATCAGTGGAACAGTTTGGAATAAAATCCAGGCCTCCTATGTCCCATTAGAGTCTTCTGGTCATTGACTTACATTGCTTTTTATTTCTCTAAGAATTATATGTATATCTTGTGTCATTGATAAGCCAAGACAAGGAAGATATGGTATTTTTATTTGCACTGTTTTCAAAGTTTGGATTGAATACAGCTACCTGCTACATGTCAGTGTTTCTTTAAGTGAATAAGAATTTTATTTTGACAATTTTTCTGTTTGGATTTCTGCTTAAGCTCTCCATGGGTGTGATGGGGACTTTTTTGGTTCCCCTTCCCCACCCTTGTTTGGAATTGTTGTGTTTTGAGAAAATGAAATGTACGCTTTTAGTTACCTACATCAAACAGGTGGTTTAAGGTATAATGTCTGTGAAGTTCTTAAGGATCCTCAGGCATATAAACAGGGCTTTTCCCCCTCAATCAGCATGGGGGAAAAGCCTTTCCTCTTTCATTTGCATACAAGGAACCTCATTAAATACATTGTCTATCATTAAACTTTTGCAAAAAGCAGTATGTGCTCAGCAATGGAAACCAAACATGAAGCTGATTAAATGCAGTCAACACTGAGCATGGCCATAAAACACCATGACCCATATTGGGCAAAAATACTGATGGGAACCTCTTTTTTTTTTATTACAAAACAACTAAAACTACATTAAGACAAAACGTGACAATCTCTACCTACAACAATACCTTGTTCTTATTATGCCTCTTTCTATTATTAACACTAACCTCTCCCAAAATTCCCCAGCCCAGGACAGAGTAATAACTTTCACTTTATCCCTTTGTCCTTTTAGAAGAAACACTGCCGTTCTTCTTTCCTCTATCTCTTCTCTGCCTTCTCCTTTCCTCTCTTGTCTACATTTTGATCCACATAGTATTTCAATTAATATACTGCCAACTCCAAACAATTTCTTATGGTGAAAGCCAGTCACTTGACCAACAGTAGATTTCTCACCTTGCATATCACTGCTGTCACACAAAGTAGTATGATTCTCAGTCTCTCTCTCTCTCTCCAGTCCTTTGGGCATTAACCCATACATAACCGTTTCATATGTTAAATCACAGTTCATATTGATCACTCTCAAAAATCAACATACCCGCTCCCATAACACTTGCACAAAAGGGCAGTCCCAAAATACATGCAGTACAGATTCTTCAGTCCCACATTCCTCTCCAGCATGCTGCTGAACTTACCAAAACCCATTTATGCTGAAAGCCCCTCACAGGAAGAATATTTCATATCATCTTCTATATGATATTTATATGTTCTTTCAATCTGTCACTTCTTTCCACACATTTGCCATCTTTGAACAGTGGGCCAGTGGCTGCCATACTCATGGCTTTTTCCAGTTTCCCCATATATGTCCCATCTTCTTAATCTGCTTCCTGCCAGGTACCAGCAGAAACATGCAGCCTTTCCCACACCCTCCATTGTCTCTTTACAGAGCATGCTTATAAAGTAAGTATGCACAAAACTTCCAAATCTGGTATTCCCCAGCCTCCTAAGTCGCTGGCTTTATATAGCTTTGGCTACCCTTTCTCTTTTACTCCCCACTGCCCCACAAAAATGCATATCTGCCTCTGTACCCTCCTTATCTGTTGCCATGATGGTGATTACATGTAAAGGATGATAGTCAAGAGTACTGTTTTCATGGCAGCCATTTTATCCTTGAAAGATAACATTCTACCATGCCACAGTCCCAAGGTCTGCCTTACCCTTATCTCTTAAATTCTCCCATGACTTTGTTCCTTTCTCTTTGGTGCACATACGGATTCCCAAGATCTTAATTACACCTTCTACCACCATAGCCTAAACTTTTGCAAATTATCCCAATTCCCCACACTCATCAATGTACTTTTCATCTTATTTAATTTCACCCCTGACACTTTGCCATAGTCCTCAGTATGCTTCAATGTCCTCTTGTGGTGGCTGGGGTCACTCTCAGGGTTGGGAAGCGTTGGGAACAGACCCCGATGCTCCCAAAGGGAGATCCAGGGACCCTGGCACCACAAGGAATGTACCTGGGAGGAGGACAGAGTCAGGGCTGAAGCCGCATGAGTTGGCGTTATGCTGGCTTTTCAAGCGGCTGTCAATCAGACTGGTCGGCAGCTGGCTGATGATGTCAGCTGCGACTGTACCTGCAGGAGATTTAAAAACCCCGGCAGAAGCTGGGTGCAGAGGGGAAGGCAGGAGGCAAGGTACCAAGCTACCTGGGGTGTGACCCAGCAGCGCAGCTTTCTACCCCCCCACTCTGTGATGCTGTCCCACCAGGGGTGAGCAGGAGTGTTATAAGGGAGCTAGGTAGGACTCCCCAATACCAAGCTCTCCAGTAAGGGGTGTGGGGCTTGACACTGCCTGACCTAGAAGGGCACAGCCATCTTTGAGCCTGTGGAGGGCACAGCAGGTCCAAGCCCAGCACAGGGCCAAAGCAGGACCAAGGATTAGGGGCTAGTGGCAGGCTGCAACTACAAACCTGCAGTGCATACTGTGGCTGACGGAGCCAAGGCCCAACAAGAGGCCATAAGAGGATGGAGTCAGTAGTTGGACTGGTGACATGACAGCCCTCATGGTTGGCAAGTGGACTGGGGTGTAGGGGTGGCGGAGCCCCAGAACCAGCTGCTTCAACCTTGTGAGTATTACCATCTCCAGGCTAGGGTAGGAACACCACTGAACCCCTCCTTTCAATTATGGATTCATCAAGTTGTGGCAGATGAGTCTGGGGCCTGACCCAGGGAGTGGGGAGGTATAGCACCAAACGAGGGCACCACACCTCTCATTTGATACATTGTCCTAAGCCACTATGTTCACTTCATCCAATGTACATTTAACGTCTCTTCCTCCTAGTATCTTCACATCACTTATTATCAGCTTATCACAAAGTCTCAGTGCCAATGACTCCATTGTGCACACAGAAAGATAGGGAGATAGTGGGCATCCACGTCTCACCCTTGTTAGTATGAATAATGCTTTGTTTAAGTAATCTAATCATTTACCAGTACTTGACTCCCTGCTTTACTGTATAGCACTTTAACCCATCCAGTCATCTTTGCTGGAAACCCCATCCCCTGGAATACTTCAAGCATGAAATCATGTTCAGTACTATCATAAGCTTTTTCCAGGCCTAAATTCATTATTCCTATGTTCCTTTTCCTCTCTTGCACATCCAGTGTGAGATCTCTCATTAACCATAGGGTCTGGGATATCCTCTCAGGAACGGAACACATTTGTTCTTGTATCATATCTGCTTATATGGTCACACATTCTTTTGGCCAGTACTTTTGCCATCAATTTGTAATCTGTGTTTAAAAGGGTTATTAGCCTTCAGTTGCCGAACACATCTTCCTTTCTCTTCTTGAATATCAAAATTATCACACCTGCAAAATCCTCCCCACTCGCCATTATTTCCCTGTATGTCTCTATTATATCTGTCCTTAGCCATTGGCAAACTTTTTCATAGAATTCCACCAGAAGTCTGTCTTTTTCCAGCACCTTCCCTCTCTTGCAAGCTTTTAAGCAATCCTCTATATCTCTCATACTTAACTTCTCCAATTTTTGTCTTCCCATCTTCTATTCCTTCCTTTATCCACTCAAGGAACATATTAATTTTTCCTCCATCTACTCCTCTTTATTTTTTACAGCTCTATAAAACTCCACTGCCACATCCAACACTTTTGCATTCTCCTCTATTCAGATTCATTCTTCAGTTCTCACTGCTTTCAGTTCCTTCCTTCTTTTCCTCAGTTTCACCGAAAAATACTTACACCATCTTCCCCCTTCTTCACCCAATGTGCTCTAGTCAGAAAGATTGTTTTCAACGATTTTCCTTTTGAACTGTTCTTCAGTCAGTCACTTTTTGCCTTCCAGTTCTTCTTTCACTCATACTCCTCTTACCACCTCCTTTATTAATTCCTGCTTCTTTGCCTGCAGTCCTTCTAGCTCTTCCAGCTTTTTCTTCACTTCTCTTCCAATATTTTTGAAAAATTCTCTTGTTCTTCTCCTGATCAAAGTCCACCACTCCCAATGCTTTTGTAGTATCTCTTCAGAGTCTCCCTTCCTTTATATAGTTCCACAGTTCTTGACAGGTCTTCTCATCTTGTAATAATTGAACATTCAGCTTCTACATCCCTTTCCCCCTACCTTCACTTTCCTCTAAACTCACTTCCATTCTCAACATCTGATGATCACTGAAGAGCATGTCTAAGATCTTCTTTCCAATCCTTAGACCATTTGACATAATAAAAAATCAGTCCTTGAAACTTGTCTCCCACTCGGTTCTATCCTTGTAGTCACATTCTCACTAGGCCATACATCCTTTAAATCTCCTTCTTTTATTATATTAATCAGTACTTTTGATGAGCTGTATAGCTTTCTCTCCCATCCATCCTCCTTCTTATCCCCCTTCTCAATAATGCAATTGAAATCCTCCATCAGAATTTGCTGCCTACCTCTGCCTAGATATACCTCTAATTTCTTATAAAGGGCAATCGTTCTCTTTCCGCATATATATTAAAAATCTCTAACACCTTATTTTCAAACTCCACTACCATCCAGTGCAGTCTCCCTTGCACAATCACTTGCACTTGTTGCACTTCCAATTCCTCACTCCTGAACAAAATTGCAACTCCATCCACTTTGTTTACATCTAATCCTGCCCTCCATGATGCTCCCCATCCCTATCTCTTTACAAAACACTTGTAATCCCTCTCCCATGAGATTCCATACTTCTACAAACATGAGTTCACTTTATCCTCACTCAACAGCGGCATAATCTTAACCCACCTCTTCCTTGATAACACACTTCTGAC